TGGCACCGCTACTTTTGGGCTCCGTCGACCGCTTCTTACTCATTGTTAGTTCCATCATCGTTTCTCATTATTTTTATTTGTGTGATGTTAGGTGATACTTCAGAAAATATTCCAGCTTATTAACCGGTCGAGACTCGAGGTATTATTAGACCACACCATGCAGTGGTATTGGCCCATCCAGGTGGTGTTGTCCACTCCAGGTGGTATTGTCTACTCCAGGTGGTATTGTCTACTCCAGGTGGTATTGTCTACTCCAGGTGGTATTGTCTACTCCAGGTGGTATTGTCTACTCCAGCTGGTATTGTCTACTCTAGGTGGTATTGTCTACTCCAGCTGGTATTATCTACTCCAGGTGGTATTGTCTACTCTAGGTGGTATTGTCTACTCCAGGTGGTATTGTCTACTCTAGGTGGTATTGTCTACTCCAGGTGGTATTGTGTACTCTAGGTGGTATTGTCTACTCCAGGTGGTATCGTCTACTCCAAGTGGTATTGCCCACTCCAGGTGATATTGCCCACTCCAGTTGGTATTGTCCACTCCAGATGGTATTGCTCACTTCAGGTGGTATTGTCCAATCCAGGTGATGTTGTCCACTCCAGGTAGTATTGTCCACTCCAGGTGGTATTGCTCACTTCAGGTGGTATTGTCCAATCCAGGTGATGTTGTCCACTCCAGGTAGTATTGCCCACTCCAGGTGGTATTGCCCACTCCAGGTGGTATTGCTCACTTCAGGTGGTATTGTCCACTCCAGGTGGTATTGCTCACTTCAGGTGGTATTGTCCAATCCAGGTGGTATTGTCCAATCCAGGTGATGTTGTCCACTCCAGGTGGTATTGTCCACTTCAGGTGGTATTGCTCACTTCAGGTGGTATTGTCCAATCCAGGTGATGTTGTCCACTCCAGGTAGTATTGCCCACTCCAGGTGGTATTGCCCACTCCAGGTGGTATTGCTCACTTCAGGTGGTATTGTCCAATCCAGGTGATGTTGTCCACTCCAGGTAGTATTGCCCACTCCAGGTGGTATTGCCCACTCCAGGTGGTAATGCCCACTCCAGATGATATAGCCCACACTAGGTGGAATACCCAACACCGGGAGATGCGTCCTACTCCAGATGGCATGAATCACACCACACGGAACTGCTCACACCAGCTGATATGCCCTACACAAGGTGGTATGCCCACACACTTGTCAGACGATCTCGCTAAATGCATAGCGCTGAACAGCGACACATTGAGTCATTCCTCGCTACACGACAACCAGCTGTGGCGCCAGGCACCAACTGTGTTTACCCTTCACTCATCGTCATCTGGCTTCCACCAGTTAGTCTCCCTCTCTCTTCTCTCTCTCTCTCTCTCTCTCTCTCTCTCTCTCTCTCTCTCTCTCTCTCTCTCTCTCTCTCTCTCTCTCTCTCTCTCTCTCTCTCTCTCTCTCTCTCTCTCTCTCTCTCTCTCTCTCTCTCTCTCTCTCTCTCTCTCTCTCTCTCTCTCTCTCTCTCTCTCTCTGATGCACATAATGAAGCAGCAAGTGATGATCTGTTATTTTGGGTCAGCGCATCTAACTTTTTAATGCAAATTGCATTATTATTAGTTAATCATTTATGAAAATAACTTTTAGGCAGCATTACTGTCCTTTGAGGTACACGATAAAGCTGGAGCCAGCTGTCTGCCAGAACTTTCATATGGTTCGCTGAATGAGTTCCCTGAGCATTTACGTGATCAGCAAACAGGGTCCAAATCGTCAGTCTCGGAAGGAATTATAGCTGATTAGAGTGATTTTATTAGGATGGTTCAGCTGTTGATGGCTGAGCGCCTTGGGTTGTGGTTGCCAGCTATTCGTTGTCCACGAAGTTGGGCCTGGCTGGACCTTGAGAACATTGGCTTTATACATAATGGTAAGGTCATTTGTCCACTCATCCAGAATTGTATACAATCTATACTAATATAGGATAGCGATGCTTTCACGCGATGGAAAGTGGACTTGAGCATCATGTACGATTTTGCAAAGTCTGCTAGCTGTTTCTGTCAAGAAGTACCATGGGGCTGTAAGACTGTAGGCTTCCTTGCCTGCTTGGTAAAGCACGTGGCATATCATTATCTCTGAGGAGTCAAACTTCATTCTTAAGATATTAACTTCATCACTGAGCGCTGAATATATGTTAAATATACATATGGGAGACACATATATCATCTATATGTTTCTCCCAGTTTTCATATTATGCTGTTTAGTTATCATCATTGTTTTTCTCAGCAATGAATGTAACCAACTTTGGTCTACCCGAGTTAGATATTGCCGTGAGTAGTTAATGATTCTTTTAGCAGTTGGTATTTCCTCTTCTTTCGTTCATGATGGTTGGAACGCTGTCATCACATTGAGCCTGAGTGTCCCCTTGATGAAGGTAGTCCCTATTTAGCTTTTAGATGGAACCAAGAGCTCACATATCAAAACATAAATCATTGATAATAGTCCAAGGTGGCGTACGTGGTACAGGGCGCCTGCAATGTTCTGTGCGACAACACAGGTGATCTTGGAGTTATCCAATGACTGATGTACGTTCAAAATGCATGATGGAAAAGTTCAACAAAAGATCAGCAGCTGAACGGCCTGTCCTCAACCCATGTTGTCAAGCACACAGCCAACGGTGATGGTGGTAAAGTTCTGTCGTTTGTGGTGTGCTTCTTGTCGTAAGATATTTGGCAGTAATGGAAGGCAGGGACACTGATCTGTGGGTCTCTACCGCTGAATTGTTATTCCTTGTGTGGACTGGAGCTACATCCTGCTTCCCTCCAGGGAAAGAATCGCTGCCTAGATCTAGGTTGCAGTCTAGACTATCTAGACCTAGATTCCTAGATGTAGACAGCGGTCTAGACCATCTAGACTTGAATTCTTAGATATAGGCAGCGGTGGTGGAATGGAAAGGAAGCTAATGGAAAAGCGAGGCCCGAACAACTGAAAAACATTCTCGGGATGAAGTCAAGCCCCATTGTTTTTCCGATGTCAAGTGATTTCAGAGGTAGTGGACTTGGCGCTGTTTAATAATCACTACTGGCAAGAAGACAGCTCATGGATCAAGCCCATGGATCAAGCCCATGGATCAAGCCCATGGATCAAGCCGTGGTGGGAACTGTTGTGCACCAGAGACCTGTACCGCTACAGAGAAATGGTCGGCCGGTAAGTTTGCTATTTTTTTATTGCCAGAGGCAGGAGACTCTTTTTCTCGGTTTCGTGGTGGGATTGTTCCTATATGAATACCTCTGCTGATATGCATATGTGGGAATGCATGAGCATCAGCAGCAACCACCAGAATCTGTTAACAGAAGCGATTAACCAATTTACATCTCCGCCAGACTTGTTTTTGACTTTGTAACACAGCATCGATGCCCAGACCATGGCTGATCAGCAGGCTTGGTCACGTACTGTGATGACCAAACCACTGACCAACAGATGAGAAGACGACGACCTTTCGGTCAGTCTCAGACCGTTATCAATTGTCATTATATCTTCAGTCACGTTATTGTGACTCGTCGTTGTCACACACTGTGATTGGTGAAGGCGCTGGCTTGCTTGATCACGTTTGCCAAGTTGTGCTCGTTAATACTTCATTCCGGTCTGTGGGAATAGCCAGAGGTAGTAAAGACAGCTTGGAGGTCTTAAGAACCTACACATATTCCTTCGAAGACTTTCACATAATAAAGTTATCAGGACGTTTTCTGGTTGAGAAGTGAATTGAATGCATTAAAGTGTTTCCCGCGCAACAATCAGGAGCCCATGAGTGCCCACAAGTGCCCACGAGTGCCCACAAGTGCCCACGAGTGTCCACGTGTGCCCAAGAGTGCCAATGAGTGCTCGCGGGCTGTGTGTGAGGAAGCCAACGTTGGTAATGAAGCCCCTGATGTTAGCAGTGATTATGCTAATGGGTCGCATCCTCTCCCAATGTATCTGATTTTCTGTCTGTTTGATGTTGTCTCACACTGTCCGTCTATCTCTGTCTGTCTGATGTTGTCTCACACTGTCCGTCTCTCTCTCTCTGTCTGATGTTGTCTCACACTGTCCGTCTCTCTTTCTGTCTGATGTTGTCTGACACTGTCCGTCTCTCTGTCTGTTTGATAATGGCTGTTCTGACCTATCTTTCTGACATTGTCTGTCTGTCAGTCTTTGTTTACTCTCTCTCTCTCTCTCTCTCTCTCTCTCTCTCTCTCTCTCTCTCTCTCTCTCTCTCTCTCTCTCTCTCTCTCTCTCTCTCTCTCTCTCTCTCTCTCTCTCTCTCTCTCTCTCTCTCTCTCTCTCTCTCTCTCTCTCTCTCTCTCTCTCTCTCTCTCTCTCTCTCTCTCTCTCTCTCTCTCTCTCTCTCTCTCTCTCTCTCTCTCTCTCTCTCTCTCTCTCTCTCTCTCTCTCTCTCTCTCTCTCTCTCTCTCTCTCTCTCTCTCTCTCACTATTCCTATCTCATTCTTGAAGTATGCTATAAACGACAGTGGAGTCAACTAATCATCATCAAGGATGTTAATTAGAAGATGGCTAGGTCATCTCTGGAGGTTCTGTCACTGTTCCATTGCTCGCCACTTCATCAGGGAGGGGATCCGTTCCATCCTCGGGTAATATATTCATCCCTTAATGAATTCATGATTCACCTGTTTACTGGACCGGCAATTTAATATCGCTGCCGCTGTTGATGAAGAATCTCAAAGGTGGTGTTAATTATATCTTCTCGTTATACATGTGATTCTTAATTATTAGAGATTTGTGCAAATTTATATTAGTCTGTTTAATAACACATGAACTTATGTTACAGTAAATGGTCTTTGTATTTATAAATCGTGGCATATTTAATTTGTTAATTGTTACTTAAATTGTAAGTAGTCATTGTCTCTTACAAATCGTTTTAGGATATTTATTAAAATTAAAATTTATTTTTATTTTATAACTTTCACAATATATTTGGTCAGCCTTTAATGTTATAACACCGAAGCTCTTAATAGCGTGAACTCTTACTCTCTGCCCGCAGGTCCGGACTTCTGGGGGCTAATCAACCCTAACTGGAACATGTGTGAGAGAGGTCGCCGCCAGTCACCCATCAACATAGAGCCTGATAAACTTGTCTATGACCCACACCTCCGGCACATACACATCGACAAGCATAAGGTCAGTTAGTCCGCCTGTTGTCTGCCTAGCTGAGGGAGGCATGGGGGGCAGGACTCCATGTTGTGTCGCTGCTGGGAGGGAAGGGGGCTGTGGACAGCTGGGAGGGGGCTGTGGACAGCAGGGAGGGGGCTGTGGACAGCAGGGAGGGGGCTGTGGACAGCAGGGAGGGGGCTGTGGACTCCTGGGAAGGGGCTGTGGACTCCTGGGAAGGGGGAAGGTTCAACTGGAAGGGGCAGCAGGTGGATGGGTGGGGGGGGGGGGGGAGGTTTGTGGACAGCAATTAAGCGTCTTCATGGAGTTTTCATATATAATTATAATCTTCAACTAGTTGACTTAATGAAGGTCACACTTGAGTGACACTTAGTTAAGCATTGCTGAGCGCCTGCAAGCCAGTGAGTCCGCAGCTTCAAGTTGCTGTTCAAGTTAACGTTGTATTCTGTGTACTGTGAAACAAAAAAAATACATTAAGGTACACATAAGATTATCCAGCTTAAAATACAGCAATTATCATAGTCCCTTTTTCGAATACTTTTTCTGTAGCAGAAATTCTGGTCATGGAAAAGATAGCCAAAATTTTTAACTAATGTTCAAATGCTCGTTCGTTGTATGGTAATGTAATGGCTAAAATTCTTAATGCCCTGAAAAGTCATGCTGTTCTCCATACGCGGTAATGGGCACTCTGGGTGCTGCAATCTGATTGGGTCATACAAGGAACTAAGAAATTTCCGTAAATATACTTTCGGGCATATATGCCTAACACTGAATACTTCAGACCATATTGTGGGTACATATCCGTTCCAGAGAGGCAGCTATGATAACTATCCTGATTGGCAGCTATCATAACTATCCTGATGGGCAACTATGATAACTATCCTGATGGGCAGCTATCATAACTATCCTGATGGGTAGCGATGACAGGCTTCCTGTTGGGCAGCTATCATAACTATTCTGATGGTCAGCTATGACAGGCTTCCTGTTGGGCAGCTATCATAACTATCCTGATGGGCAGGTATCATAACTATCCTGATGGGCAGCTATGATAACTATCCTGTTGGGCAGCTATGACAAGCGTCCTGTTGGGCAGCTATCATAACTATCCTGATGGGCAGGTATCATAACTATCCTGATGGGCAGCTATGATAACTATCCTGTTGGGCAGTTATGACAGGCTTCCTGATGGTCAGTTATGACAGGCTTCCTGATGGTCAGCTATGACAGGCTTCCTGTTGGGCAGCTATCATAACTATCCTGATGGTCAGCTATGACAGGCTTCCTGTTGGGCAGCTTTCATAACTATCCTGATGGTCAGCTATGACAGGCTTCCTGTTGGGCAGCTATGACAGGCTATGATGGCAAAAAGCAAAAAGCCATCGAGCAAAAAGTCTTAGTCGACATGAACTTGAAACCGGCCATATACTGCAGGTATGTTGACGACATTTTTACACAGGTACCTGATGTCAGACATCTGCAGGAGCTGAAGGAGGCATTTGAGCAGAGTTCCGTGCTGCGTTTCACTTACGAGATGGAAAAGGATGGGAAGCTGCCCTTTCTAGATGTAACAGTCATGGAAAAGGGCGGAGGTTTCCACACTGCAGTCTACACTAAGGAAACAAACATAGGAATGTGCCTAAATGCCAACAGCGACTGCCCAGACAGGTACAAGAGGAGTGTTGTTAACGCATATGTCGACCGTGCTCTCAGCCACAGCTCAGAATGGAAGCAAGTCGACGAAGAACTCTGTAGGGTAAGGCAGGTCCTAGTCAATAACGGCTTCTCCAATGGTTTCGTCGAAGACATCATAAGAAGGAAAGTGAAAAGCCATGCAACCTCTGAAGAGACAACTAACACAACACCTATACCCCCTATGTTACGGCCCTCTCGGGACGCAACGGGGTCCTTACTCTGATGTTGTTAGAGGAAGATATAATGTATCCGTTCCCAAGCCAGTAGTGGCTATCAAGGGATGAGATCCGTGACGCAAGTAACTTAAAGGGAGTAGGGAAAGAAAGCTAAGAACTTAATATTATACTTATTACCATCACCAATTAAATATATAAAATCAAAAAGTGCACAGGGGGAGGGTATTAACACTATACAAGGGGATTAATCCATAATCGTTGTCTTCTGCTGAAGACGCTGGTGCCACAACTCTCGGTGCCGAGTCCTTGGTGCTTTCTTCGTGGCCACACAACGAATTATCCAAAGAAGTTGAGCCTACCCTGGCCACAGGTCAGCCAAAACACAGGTCCACTGGGGGCACCGTCGTGGAGGCCGTCAACCACACGTCCAGCTGGTCTGCTGGCAGGTTCTGAGCCAACAAGGCTGGTACGGCCACTCCACGAACGATATAAGGGATACGCCCTAGACAGGAGTCTCGTGTGATATCACAAATCACCCTCCTGTCCTCAATACCCCAGTGGATGATCGTCTCCAACAGTTGGTCCCGGGTAAATCCTCTTACTGCCACTCCACTGGCAGGCTAACACACCACAGTGTTCTTCCGGGGGGACGACTTCACAACAGCTGCAGCAACGTTCAAGGTATGGAGACTGGCTGCCTCGGGTAGACTGACTCCACTTCCATCACAGTGGTCCCAGGTCGGCTCTGTAAGCAGACACGTCATCAATAACCGGGACACTAATACACCTCACTTACGGGCTCGGGTACAAACACCTGACGTATCCAGTCCATAGATGGCGCTGTCGTCGGAGCACCACCTCACCAGAGGTCAGGAGCGGCGGTGTTGAGCGCTGAACCAGACTGGAAACTGGTCCTCGAGGCCAGTACACGCTGTCCTCACCAGGTGTCGTCCGTTTGGCGGGGGTTTCGGGAGCTGACCCACAGATGGCGTGGTTGTCACTGCTCCAGGCTCGGACGCTGGATCCGGGTTCGTAACACCCTATTAGACTATTTTACAGGAACTTCTTTTCCACAGCTCATAAAACGGAGGAAAGGGTCCTGAAAGATATTGTTAATAGAAACGTTATCCCTACAGACAAAAATCAGAGGATACAACTGACGATTTACTATAAAACCAGAAAAACGGCCAGCCTACTCATGAGAAACTCTCCAGACACAAAACAGAACGCTTTAAAAGAGACTAACGTCGTCTATGCCTTCAAATGAGTGCATTCCATTTATTAACTACTCTGACACTGAAAAAATTCTTTCTAACGTCTCTCTGGCTCATCTGGGTACGAAGTTTCCACCTGTGTCACCTTGTTCGTGTCCCACCCGTGCTGAAGAGTTTGTTGTTTGTGTGTGTGTGTGTTTGTGTGTGTGTGTGTGTGTGTGCGTGTGTGTGTGTGGGACCTAATTTAAGTTATTACATGAAGGATACTATGAACAGAAGGATGCTGCATCTCAGCATCTGTGATAAATATTGGGACAATATGAGATAACACGACTTGGGAGATGACGCATCTTCCTGAGGCTGAGCCCTGACCTTAAGGACTCTACTCTCACACGATGAATGTTTGGCATATAAAAGTAAGTAGCCCATCTCCCGAAGGAAACATAGCGGTTACTAACATGGAGCCGTCAGTGAAATGAACTCCTCCGCCAGGATTGACCTAGAGGGGATCCTGGCGTCAATATGTGACGTACAGTGTCCGTTGACGCAAGCTGGCATATGGTCGAGCCTGGTGGATGACTTGATCTTTTGGATGACGTGACCTGGTGGATGACTTGATCTTTTGGATGACGCGACCTGGTGGATGACTTGATCTTTTGGATGTCGCGACCTGGTGGATGACTTGATCTTTTGGATGGTGTCGCGACCTGGTGGATGACTTGATCTTTTGGATGTCGCGACCTGGTGGATGACTTGATCTTTTGGATGTCGCGACCTGGTGGATGACTTGATCTTTTGGATGTCGCGACCTGGTGGATGACTTGATCTTTTGGATGGTGGACGCGATCTTTTGGATGGCGACCTGGTGGATGACTTGATTTTTTGGATGACGCGACCTGGTGGATGACTTGATTTTTTGGATGACATCGACCTGGTGGATAACTTGATCTTTTGGATGACGCGACCTCGTGGATGACTTGATCTTTTGGATGACGCGACCTGGTGGATGACTTGATCTTTTGGATGTCGCGACCTGGTGGATGACTTGATTTTTTGGATGACGCGACCTGGTGGATGACTTGATCTTTTGGATGACGCGACCTGGTGGATGACTTGATCTTTTGGATGACGCGACCTGGTGGATGACTTGATCTTTTGGATGTCGCGACCTGGTGGATGACTTGATCTTTTGGATGACGGGACCTGGTGGATGACTTGATCTTTTGGATGTCGCGACCTGGAGGATCTCTCTACTTTACGACGACCTGACCGGATGGATGATTCGATCAAGTAGATTTATCGACCTCGAAGATGTCCTGAGCTGCTGGATGACCAGACCAGCGTGATGAAATGACTAGATGGTTGACCTGAGCTGGTGGATGATTAGAGCCTGCTGGGTACCTCGCCGTGGAAGACATAGACAGATGTATCCATTAATCGTTTGCAGTCAAACACAACACCAAAATTACCTTATGTGTACTCCTATTCACCTGGCAATTCAAGCATTTTAACGAGCTAATAATGGCGTAATTGCGTAGTTAGGGGGGATTATAAGCGTTAATAGATTGGATGATTGTATACGCTTGATGGCCGTAATAACCATAAAACCCCTGTAATGGTGGGATTGGTTTCCCAGCGCACTTGCGGACCCGTGTCGAACGTACGTCATCTTAAAGTGATGCTCACATCTTAGAGTGACACCCTCATCCCAAAGTTATGCTCTCATCTTAGAGTGACGCCCTCATCTCAAAGTGATGCTCTCATCTTAGAGTGACTCCCTCATCTCAAAGTGATGCTCTCATCTTAGAGTGACGCCCTCATCTCAAAGTGATGCTCTCATCTTAGAGTGACGCCCTCATCTCAAAGTGATGCTCTCATCTTAGAGTGACGCCCTCATCTCAAAGTGATGCTCTCATCTTAGAGTGAC